AACTTCTCAGCTTCATTTCTATGCCTGATCCCGGGAGGTTTATTTCCCTGGTTCACAGAGCATCACAGCTGCAGACTTCGTCATCAAACCATTGCTGACGCCGATCGACATCTCAGGGTTCAAAGCTCTGGCCAGCTCTGGTGTCTCTGCAAACAAAATTCAGCCAAGGGTTTTTTGAATAGGAAGGATATTGTCACATTCATAAAAACAGGAGGCTTCTTGACTGCAGGGTTTTTGTTTCAGTATTTTCTGCAAAGTGGTGTTCTCATTCATTAATGGGAATCATTCAGGCATCCATACACACACACTTTGTTTAGTACAGTGGTCAAACATCTGGAAGACAGCCTCAGTGTGCTGGTGGTGACCTGCACTGTCTCTTGCTGTCAGCAGGTGGATGATGCAGTGCCTGGGGGGGAATGTGCTGGTGGAGGGTTTCTGATAACTGAGAAGCAGGACCAGGCTGGATGAGGGTCTAGGCAACCTCATCTAGTGGAAAGTGTTCCTGCCCATGGCAGAGGGGATGGAATGAGATGATCCTTAAAGTGCCTTCCAAACCAAATCATTCTGTGGTTCTGAGTCTATGATCCTTGGTGCTCTACAAGCTCCTGTGGTAACCCAGTGACCCTGGGAACAATCTGGAAGGGCAGCAGATAAATTGTGGCTAAGTCTGTCCACACAGACATGCTGTGACACTGCACATATCTTTCAATTCTCAAAGGAGGTTTCTCCAGGGTAAGGAAATGCAAAATCTGTATTGTATATACAGGAAGCAATGCTTAGCACTGCAAGGCAGCACCAAATGTATTTGGCTAGAAAGACCTTGTGACTATAAAGCAGGGGGAGACCATAAGGCAGGAGCAGACAGATGAAGAATGACTGAGTCTGCTCTGGAGATTTGGGCTGAATATGAGCTTTGCTGCACCCAGGAATCCTAGGACTGTATGAGACCCTCACATTACTGAGTGCAGTTACTGAGTGCAGTCACTGCAGACACTGCTGAGCTGAGTTCAATGACTACCTTGGCTTCAGGTTGACACTGGATTAGCTGCTGAAGACATTGCAATATTTTGCATAAACAATCTCCTTCTCCAAAGCTGAACAACCTTGAATAACCTTTCCCAGGCTGCTCTCTGCCCGCTTTTGAGTCTTTTAATTTTGCAATCTGAAAAGAAGACAAGTGTTTCTAGTTCTAGGCTGATGCTGTCCAGATGCATAATGGAAACCACGTGCTTTGTTTCTGCTCCTTTGGTTGTGGCCCATAAGATGTATTGAAGCAGGTCTCAAAAAAGCTGCATTGAGGAGGAGAAGAACAGAATGAATATTTTTTTGCCTCAAGTGCACTCCTGACATGAATTTGTCTTCCTTTGCTTTGGGCACTGCCCTTGTGGCATTCATGGGGTGTTTATACTCTACTGTTTCAGGACATGGGAATGACATATTCTGCTTGTGAGACCAAATTTATTCACATTATCCACAACTGTATGAATCTCTGCAAGGATGACTTTCCCACCTCCTGCAGATCTCACCTCTGCTTTCTAGTGTTAGTGCTGTGCAAGACATCAGACTTCAAACTACCTATTGCAGAAAGTCTTGTCCAATAATAGGTAACAACTGGATGACATCCCAAATTTTATGGGGTTTAATTTTTATAACAAGCAGAATTGATTCCTCCAAAGATATTTGCTTGACAATGATAAAATAGAATTTTGGAAATAAATTACCTGGAGATTAGTTGATTGTTTAAAGGCAGAATGAGGTGAAAATATCAGACCTGAAGTAAGGCTATCTCTGGAGATGGGAGATGTGAAGTCTGTATCTGGAGGAAGATTTGGAGATTCCATTTAACCCAGTAAAGGTTTCATGGAGAATAGCTGTATTATTAATGAATGGCACTTATCCTCCTGGTTGTTTATGTACAGGTTCTTACAGAAATATTATGCGTTAGAGACTTACAAAAGACTTTATGGTCTGCACATCCCACTATAAATCCATGTTGCCTCAGTTACCATCTGGCTAACTGCACAGGTGAGGGGAAAGAGAGAGACTGGAAGGGAGAGATTAGTACTAATACATTTTTTAAATCTAGAAAGGTCTTGTGAATTCTAATGCTGTGATATGACAGAAAGCTTTCAAGACCTGCATAATACAAGAGGACTAAGAAAGCAAGGATTTGGACTGTCAGCTCTTTGACAAGAACACACTGATGGGTCTTTTTGCTGAGAGCATCATGAATTGCCTACTCAAAAGCTTCAGCAGAGCTAATATGCAGTCACTTCTTGAATATTTTCTGTATTTGGGTTTAGGAGCTGTGTCTTCCTTGGTAATAAAATGTGCTTCAGGCATGGGATAACCAGGTGACCAAATTGTAAAGACTGGATGCAGAATGGCATGATCTGGTCCTTGTCTGCTCTAGTTTAGGGTAAATAGAAGTACAAGAAGAAAACACGTCTTCCCAATGTCTTCAAAAAAGGTCTGCCTACTTGAACAAAGCAGGCTGGAAGGACAGCACTGGTATTCCTGAGAAGTTTTGTCACACAGTTGTGAGTCACATATTAGTTGACTTTTCTTAGAGCAAGTCCCAGCTGACAGAATCAACAGCAAAGACTTGACATCCTTCAATTGAAAAGGCAAAGAAGAGAAGATGAAATCAAATACTCCTATCACATGCTGTTGTGAAGGAAAGTTTACATGAATGGAGGTCCCTTCCTGTGGGAAGAGAGGCCAGCACTTCATAAAAGCTGTTATTAAAAGCCAAGCTCATAATCTTGTGAGAACAGAGTAATTTCTTTGTGAGCAGCACTGCTAGTAGGGTAGATGGCTGAGTCCTAGTGTGCCTTCCTCATTCCACTGCCCTATGCATACAAAGTAAACCTAATTTAATTTGCTGCTGTTTTATTTTCTTTTTGGGGGATTTTTGTTTGTTTGTTTGGTTGGTTTTTTTTGTTTTTAATTTTGTTTTGCTTTTGTTTTTGTTTTTAATATAAGGCAAAATGCACCTAAACTGGAAGAAGTTTGTAAACAAAACTAGAAGTGTCTGTCCCATGGCTGTTCTTCCCACACAGTTTGGAACAGTATTCATGGCTCATTAGGCCCATGGCTTGCCTTTTTGGTTAACTTCTAATGAGTAACATGATCACACAGATTGAGAGCTTGGTATTGACTTTTGTGGGACTCTAAGCCTCCAGGGATGCCAAATACAGATGTTTGCAGTCAGTCTTCTCTAAAAGATACCCTGGGGATCTTGGATATTAGTGATGAGAGCTTCTGTGTCCTGACAAAAATAGTTTCTCTAAATTAGAATGAGGAAAATAGGTAGAAATCATGACACCTTTTTAAAATTTTATTCTGAATTTATACTGAAATGAGTAGGAAAGATGATTGTGTGGGCACGCTAACTGTTAGTATCCTCTAACCCCTATAAATTTTAACCTGGTGGCCAAATTCTCTTCTTTCTTCTGCACTGATATGGCTTCACCTGGAGTCCTGTGTGCAGTTTTGGGCACCAAAATATAAAAAAATACATTAATCTGTTAGAGAGTGTCCTAAGGAAAGCAATATGGATGCTGAAGGGTATGGAAGAGAAGCCATATGAGGAGTGGTTGGGATTCCTTGGTCCTTTCAGCCTGGAGGAGACTGAGGGGAGACCTCATTGTGGTCTTCAGCATCCTCACGAGGGGATGTGGAGGGGCAGGGACTGATTACCTCTCTCCCTTGAGCAGTGACAAGACTGGATGGAACAGCATGAAGCTGAGTCAGGAGATTTTAGGTTGGATGGCTGGAAAAGTTTCACCCAGAGGGTTGGGCAAGCTCCCCATAGAAGTGCCAGCCCAGAGCCTGACAGAATTTGAGACGTGTTTGGACAATGCTCACAGGCACATGGTGTGACCCCTGGGCTATCCTGCATAGGGCCAGGAGCTGGACTTGATGATCCTGATGGGTCCCTTCCAGCTCAGAATATTCTGTGATTCCATGGCTCTAAGGCTCTTCTGTCTGCTGCTGCTTGCTGAGCATGAAGCCATATGCTGTGGGCACTCCTTTGGTCAGCTGCTGTCCACTGCCCTGGCTGTGTCCCATCCCAGCCTCCTGTGCACTCGAGCCTACTCAAATGGCAGGACAGCAGGAGAAGCAGAAAAACCCTTGATGTTCTGCAATCACTACTCAGCAATAGCTAAAATATCCCTGTGTTATTGACACCATTTTCATCATAAATATATCACCATTATGAAGAAAATTAACTCTATCCTGGCCTGAATCAATGTAATCATTAAGGAACTTGAATTTTGTGTGTTGACTAAAAAAGGCCCCATATCTGTTTCCACACTGGTAGTCATAGTCATGATCCATAAGAAGTAAGAAAAGCAGGAATGCTAAGTTGATGTGTTTCAAGGAAGGAAGCAGGAACCTCCATTGAGATCACAAAAGAAGGTGAAAGGAAGACTTTGGGCTCTTCCTGCAGTAGCTCTGACTGCTTGGTGATATTAGTTTTCGACATAATGTTCTTTCACAAAACCTGCACTTGGTCAAGCTTGTGCTTCTTGGGATAATAAGAGTAAACCAGTTCTTCTGGCTTATTGAAGTGCATATTGAAGGCAGAGTTATTGAGCTTCACCCACAGGCAAAATACTTGGACATCAATCTTTATTCTCAGTTCTGGAATTGGCAATGTGGTTCCTCAGGGCTTCTTTTTAACCCTTCTCCATGGTGATTGCAATCATAACTTACCCGTCTCAAGTCTTGAGATTTCCAAGCATAACTAAGAAATCTTTATTCTCACTGGTCACTGAAGTAGGTGGGGTCAAATATTAGCTTGAAATACAGAGTGGAGTACAAAATAGCACTCATTACTTTCTCCATGGTGCTCAGTTTCCTTTTTAGACTGAAATATACTGTCTGAAATATACTGGACAGATAATTTTTCTAGCAGTGCTAACTATAGATGAGTAATTCTGATAGTCTTTAAAAATAGCCCAGGCAAAAAAATCCCCATTTAGACAACTAATGCATTTACAACCACTGCACCATGAAATTATCTGGTTTCTTTTAAGGGGTCCCTATTCCAGAATTTGAAGCTTACTGAAACAATATGGCAACATTGCCATTCCTGATGGGGTAAGGAGCTCAGGACTGGCTAGTTTTAATTTACTTCTTGAGGTGGTTTGAATTTTGACAAAAAAAAATGTGTTTTGCTGTTTCTGTTTCAGTTTGCTGGCTGAGCATTTTTTTAATGCCTACTGCCTCTGCTCAGCAGTATAAAAGCATGATTGCTTTTTATTGCCATTCTCTCCCAGCACAAGATTGTGTCTGTGTCTCTTACAGACTTGTCAATCTGAAAACTTCATTTGTAATTTTCCAGAAGCCCTCAGGGCATATTTCTTGAAGTAGTCTATCCTCTGTCTCGCAGGAGAAGAGAGAGATTCACCTTTGGCTGTGTGGGATGGCAGAGAACCAGCCTGCATCCACTTGTGAGGGTTCTGCAGGGGCTGGTGATGATCTGGTAGGTGGGCTGCATGTTTTCCCTTCTGTCCCATTTTCAGTGGGACTATGACAGCAAGCTGCAGCATCCCAGGGCAATCCTATGGCTCAGAGAGTTGTATTTGCTGTTCTGGGGACTGTGGCACTGCCTGAAATCAATCCTTTGCTCATCCTAGTGCTTTTTCCTTCTCTTTCCTTACAGTCCTCTGGCACCTCATCACATTTTCACTCCTAGCTGGATTCTGGGTCCTTCTGCTCCTCTTGGCTGCCTGGGTGTCAACCTATTTTCAGTCCCATAATTGTCCCTACCAGCCAAAAGAAGAAACCTCAGGAAAAATTTGGCTCAGTTGATCTCAGGAAATATTTGGGATAGAGTGGCCTTGCTAGACTGAAAGTTCTAGAAAGACCAAAAGACTTTGTGTGATATACTCTGCTGAAACTGCAGCTCACCAGGCGCAAGGAGAGTGGACAGGACACTGCTGGTAGAGTGAAGCGTGGAGGTGAGCGTGAGGGTGCTAGAGAATTGCCATGAAAACAGTGAAATAATTCAAGTCTATGGAAGATTTACTTCCCTAGATTAACTTTAAAATACTTAATATCTGCTTCTTCCCTTTGTGTTATTCCTTCAAACAGCAGAAGCAATTTTGCTGAAATTTCCTAAGGACCCAGCTTTTCCACAATCAGAGCACACATTTATGGGAAATGTTTAAACGTTCCAAGCTTGCTGTTTGCAAATAACAGAGTGTGATAAGAGACTTTCTGTTGATTTCAGTGGAAGTTGAGGACAAAGAGAGAAGGCTGAGGCAGAAACACAAGGGACAAAGAGATCAGCCAAAATGTGTAAGATCAGTGAACACGTCCTGTCCTGCCTCGGTGGCTCACTTTTGCTTTCATTCCTCCAGAAAATGCAAGGTGCTTTTTTTCTGCTCTGCAAGTACAGCCTGTGTCTCACTAAAGATGCTGAAATGGGGGAAGGGAAGGTTCATAGACGAGCTGAGAAATGAGGGGAAAATTCTGCTTATGATTCATTTCCATACTTCGAAATTGAAATCCAAGGTTCAAATGTAATTTAAAAGATTGCCATTAAAGCTTGGGGTGTTTCTTAAGGGATTTCTGCATACAGACAATAGTAAGGGTGTCACACAGCACTTGCAAAAGGACCAAAGAAGGATGGGTGCCTAATCCTTTACAATTATTTTTTTAGGTTCTCTTGGAGCTCATACTGAGTACCTATCCCACATTTAATATGCCTTTGTAGACCTTATGCAATCCTGTAACCACCAAATTCCTTTGCTTGGTTACAAAGCAAACAGTTATTTTCAGCAACAAGCAAGGAAGACAGCAGATGCTTTTGATCAATATTTCCCCAGAAGAATTTTCATTCTATAAACTGCTTTATCATCCCACTAATGCCAGCAGGCCTTTAGGGAAAGCAGAGCACCAGGGCATTGCTAATACTGAGCATTCCCTGGGTATGTTCTGTTCTGGGGTCAGTGAGGTATGAGCTGTCTCTCACTTTATCCAGCAAAATTCCAAGCTGGTACCCAGCCATTGAAGCCATCTTCTCATCATGCCACTTCTATTCCTCACTTGCCTTAAAAAATGTGCACTTCAGAACTCAGCTGTTCTCTACTTTTGAGAAATCTGAATCCATAAATCATGTAGGTGCATCCTTTTTTTTTTCCTCTCCCATATGCATTATTTGAAATAACAGAATATTTTCTTTCCTGAAGCTTTAGATGTATTTATGCATCTGTATATCTATATATTTATATTTTTCTCCATTCTGTGGACTATTTTTGGATGCTGCTGCTGAGTACCAAGAGCTACTGCATGTGAACAGGTAGATATATATTGTCTTTCCTTGTTTGTCATCTACTGCAGCTGTAAAGAAGAATGTGGCTAGAAATAAATCTGAGTTACTCATATTATGATTACTTGGTAGAGCCAATCAGTTTTCCAAAAAAGTTTTGATTCATTTTATTCAAGAAAGTAACTCTCTAGATAGAGGACTAAGTGAAGTCAGATTTATTATTGTATTTGTCTGTATCTCTTTATGGAGCTTCCTGAGTCTCAGACACTGAAAAAAACCAAAGCAAACCCAAGAAAAATAATTGAAAACAATGCCAAAAAAAGGTCTTTAGAAGCTACCTAATTACACCTTTGAAGAAAATAAAGGCTAGTAGATGTTGCTTTAGCCTAATCATTCTCAAGCATTAAGTTATAAGTAAAGAACCTGCTCCTCTCGTGCTCTATGAAATGCACAGAGACCTTTGGTGATGAAAGTCTATGTGGGTTTTGCATTTTTACTGTACTTTTTTTTCTGTTTACCTCCCTCAAAGCCTCTTCCTCTTCCACACCTGTGTAACACCTGTGACACTTAATTGGGAAGATCGGCTGAAACCTCATTATTCTGCTCTGTGCTGTTTTGGAGTTAGTTTTCTTCACAGTAGCTGGTTTGGTGTCATGTTTTTGATTTGTGATAACAAGAGTGTAGGTTACACAGTGATGTATTAGATATTGAACTTCCAGGACAGATTAACTCACCTATCACTTTTTACAACCACCTGAAAGGGGCAGGGGTGGGCTCTTTACCAGGCAGCAAGTGAGAGAATGAGGAGATGGCCTCAAACTGCACCAGAATAGGTTCAGGTTGGACAGGAAAAAGATATTTCATTGGAAGAGAGGTCAAACATTGGAATGGGTTGCCCAGGGACGTGGCAGAGTCACTGTCCCTGGAGGTGTGTAAAGAAAGAGTGGTTGTGGCACTCAGTTCTCTGGTCTGGTTGAAGAGGTGGTGTTTGGACTTGATGACCTTGAAGATCTTTTCCAATCTGAATGATTCCATGATTTTAAGATTGTTCAAAGGGATATTCCATAATATATGGCATGATGCTCAGCATATAAAGCTGGAAAGAAGGAGGAAGGAAGCATTGTTTGGGATTATGACATTTGCCTTCCTCAGTCACCATTATGTGAGATAAAGCTGTGCTCTCCTAGAACTGGCTGAGATGATCTCAGTTGACCAGAGCCTTGGTGCTCATAACACCAAGGCTGTGGGTGTGATCCCTATGTGGGCCATTCACTCAAGAGCTGGACTTGATCATCCTTGTGGATCTTTGTAGGTCCCCTTCCAACTCAGAATATCATGTGATTCAGAAATTCAAAAATCTGCCTGCTGATGGGTCTTAGAGAACAAATTCCTTATTTTGATCTGGCTATGCACACAGTTTTCATCTGTTTGTCTGTAAAACTCTCTTTATCTCAACCCATGAATTTTCTTACTTTCACCCTTCCAATTCCCTCCCCCATCCCACTGGAAAGGAGTGGCTGAGTGTCTCTGTGGTGCTCAGATGAGATATTGATCTCATTTCTATCTTCTTTTACCCCTGTGCATCTGAGCAAGCTCAGCTTGGCAAAAGTGCTCTGATGGCTTTGAAGGTGGGAAGTGAAGAAAGGTTGGACAGCTCTAAGAGAAGTAAAGGGCCACAGGAATCCTTGCTGGATGTTGCACTGGAACTTGAGTGTGGCTGAGAGGCTGTTTTGTAAGAAGCTGGTCTGAATGTCTTTTTGGGGAGGAAATAAATCACATGGTCAAAGAAGATAAATGGCTGAAGGACAGAAGATCTGGAGCAACCAGAGGGTGCAAGTTACTTGTGTGGAAGAAAGTGGAACTGGATGCTCCCAAGTTACTAGAGAAAGAAAGTGGGAGATGTTGATATCAAGCAGAGGTAAAAGAAGGTAGGATGAGTCTTCATGTAACCTTTACAGAAGCCTCTCCTGACTTCCAAGCCCACCCTAGATGTTCTCTTGTGGTGTTTCTCCATGTCATATCTGTCAGCCCCTGTTCTGGTTATCCTAGAATGCAGATGAGAAAACTGCACTCAGCACTGCAATAATGGTTCCTCCAGGGTTAGTAAAAAATATGCAATTCTTAACATCTACTGCTATTTATGTTTTCATATGAGTATATCTTGTATCTGAGTGGGGGAAAAAATACACCAACCAAACCATTGTAATCTTTCAGCAAAGTTCTTAATGAGTGTTCCTTGCAAAGAAAGAAAAAATGAAACCCACAATGTTTTCTTCGTTTCCTTCTGCAATTTTCCAAGAAGCATTGCTCTACCCATTATCAGTACTATAAATCTAATACTCCTTAGAAACACTTGTTTAAGAGATAAGAGCCAGGGACAAAACTATATAAAAACTTGATGCTGGGTCTGCAACCACTGCTTTACAACAGATCATAGGAGGGATTTGTTTTTCTGTATTTCTCCTCTCAGGGAATTCATAACTTTTGCTATGACAGATAAGAATATTTTTAATAATCTTGCAACAAGGAATTTGGTGTGTTATCCTTAAAACCATGGCAAGACAAAATCTTCTCTGCTTCAGGAGCATTACTGATGAAAGAATGCATCTGAAACTCCTCTGGTGCTGCCGGGTACAATTCCACTCATTGGAGGCTCACTCTATTCATATGAGTGCAGAAAAACAAGCAACATTTAGTGCATTCCCATCCCTTTTTTACAGTTCATTTCCTGTTCTTATTATGAAGCATTGTCAGACAACTGGATCTCTGGGTTTAATGGTTCATTAACCCGCTTGCCAAAGCACTCACAGGATTACCAAGAGCTGAGGCAGATTCACTATTTGCACAAACACACACACACATGTACACAGGCTATTTAGATGGAATTATTATTCATAAATTACTCTTAATTAGACTGTTCATCACTCTGAGTGATTGTGCTCCCCTGTTATAAGTAGCACTAAATTACTTATTGAAATTCACCACCACCACTTGTTTTTCCATGTGTGTTTCCCTCCACAGTTTCAAAATAACCTCCTCTTATTGCTGGAACAGTTGATAAGATTTTGGCATTGCTCAGCCTGGTGTTAACTCCATAATCCTGACTGCTGCCCCAGACAGGGCTCTTCACCTTTCATAAGAGGGGAACAGACTGGGACAAGATCATACTGAGAAAAAATGGTTCACAGGGAAATAAAATTATTGGGATCCACCTTGGCTTGCATTCCCAGAGGTTTCATACATGGAGCTCCACATCTGCATTCCAGGCTGAACCCTGCAGTCCCAGCAGTCTCTTTGAAAGAGTCTCCTATCTTAAGGAGGGTGGTTATGTCAGTTTTGCACTTAGACACTTAGATCCTGAAGATGAGAGGGATTAATCTGCCTTTGGCATTTCCCCTCTCCTAGCACGTGTGCTCTTGGCTTTCATGTGTGACTTTTATTGATCCCTTTTAGAAAAATCCTTTTTCTGTGCTGATACCCTGAGGACTTTCCCAAGTGCAAGGTTTCTACTGAAAAACCACCCACCAAAATGGAATTTGCCATTCTGAATCTCATAGTGGCTGGATGAACCTTTGGGAGGTCATGGCTGGAGACAGAGGGTCAGTGCAGAGGGTGGGAGGAGTAATTTGTTTTTCCTGTGGGCTGCCTCATAGAATTTAATGCCTTCTCTTCACAATGCAGTCTCTGCAAGCAGTTCAGGCTCCTGTGTCTGGAAATGAGTCTTTGGATCTGGCACCTGCAAAGGCAGCTGGATCTTTTCCACTTTTTTTCACTAGAAAGTGCCTATCTGTGACGCCTTTACCTGGGCGGTCAGTTTGCCCTCTTCTCCATCTTCCTAACAGACTGCACCATCAAATGTTGTATTGGTTTTTTTTGCTTGTGACATGGTAAGAAAGGAAGCAAGAAATCTCAGTGAAAAAAAAAATAAATACAAGCAGCCAAGAAAAAGAAACAACAAAACAAATCCTCCCACCGAAGCAGAGATCTCAGAGCTCATTTATTTCAACTTTCAACTTACACTGAGATTTTCCAATTTGCTGATGTTAAAAAGTACATTGAATCCTGGCTGAAGTACAAGTTCTAAAACACTTATTATTTTTTTTTAAGCAGAATTTATATTCACAGTTGCATGGGAGACAGATAATATAGCAGGCAGATGAAGCCTGCCCTATCCAGGGCGGGGAATTTGCAAGCACTGTGATAAATTTCAGAGGAGAGTTGTTTTCTTTGAGTTCCAGTCATATTGTGGTATTGAAAACCTTCAAAGCTAATTTCCTTGTTGTCAGAACTGAGGGAGGAAGGAGGCATTGCTGGTCTATTTACTCCATTGCTATGTTTTCCTTCCTTCTGCTTTCAGCATCTGGAATCATTCTTGATGACACCCAGCTTGTCTAACTGTGATATTAAAGTGTTCTGCCAATCCATTACCTCACATCAAATAGGGCTTCCAGTTGCAAGGAGAACCACAGATTGACTGTCAAAAGTGTATTCTTCACTCTGCTGTGTTCTAAACTTGCTTTTTCTCCACTTGAGAACTACTTCAGCCACCCTCCATGCATCCGACTCAGCTGAGACCCAGCAACACAGCAGGAACCAACCACTGGGCAAACCAAATTAAGGCTCTGACTCACAGTTGCTCTGAGGAACCAGCTGAGAGGTTGTGGCCAATCCTTGTGGCTTGGTTCAAGCAGTCTTTGTCCACATAAGGAGAAGGATTTGCTGTGCAGTGGTTGCCTACCTTGCCTCATTGCCATACTCTGACACTGGGCTGGGGTTAGTGAAGGGCAGCAGGCTCATTTCCCAGTTAAGAAGTAAATTTGTACTTATCTGTGTTTGCTTAAAGCTCTCATGGATTTTTCCTGACCTTCACCCACTGAAGATGATCAGAGCTCTGCCACTGCACTTCCTACTCAACAAGGAACCTCTGGAGTTAATCTCTGTGAGACCACAGTTTGAAGAGATGAAGTTGAACTTGCCCTACAGTCCTGTCTTTAAACAAAGAAGTTATGAATATCCTGTAAGACCCACAAAATGTAACTTTTCTTTACTTATATAATTTTCCTTCAATTTGTTCTGCTACTATCATATTCTTATAATTGATTTTTAAACTCAACCAGAGTTCTCCTTAAACTTGAAATGCCTTAGCTCTACTTTAAGATTTTTCTTCTCATGTGTACCAGGTGAACAAGCCCAGGTTCTGGCTCTGGGGCTGGAGGGGGATCTCTGTGAAGAGAGTTCAGGGTGCCCTGTACCAGACACAGATGGTCCCACTGGGCTCCAATGGTTCCACCTCTGTTGCTATAGGACACGAGAAAGCACAACATGAGCTACTGAGATGGCAAGGTAAAAAAGAAGAAGGTTTATTTTCTGATTCAAACTTTTATGCCTTTCTAAAGGTGACAGTGGATTGGAGAGTGAATGGGCTACCTCTCCAAAGACATTGGACAAACCACCAGTTCATCAACTTCCTCCACCCCCACGAAGGAATGCAAAACAATATGTTGTTTATAGAAAATGTGTGGGAAAGTTTTCTAACAGAATGTAAACTCAGAAGGCTTTATAAAATCTTAAGAATCAGGGTGACACACCTCTGCCAGTCTGGGGGTGCTGAGAGGAAAACAAGTTCTGGAAAGGGCCAAAGGCAGCAGTGTCAGAGCAGGATTTTGCAACAGGGTGGAATTTCAGCCCTTAGCTATGGCTAATCTGACAGATCATGATAAATCTATGGTGTAATTAAAAGCACCTATTAATTTTCTTTGCTTGTTAGGCAATGTCTTTCCTTATGATTGCATGTGCATAACTCCAGTAGAATTGCTCAGTGTTGGCTCTCCTGTTGGCAGCAAAACCCCATTTCACCAGTGCTGTAAAATGGAATGACTGAAGATTGTTGCTGTACTAAGGTAAAAGCCTCAGGAAAAGTGAAAGTTTGCTGGTAAAGCAGCTTGTGTAGAGAGGCATTCAGACCTCTTGAGAAATGTTTAGAATCACAAATGCTTTTGAAAACATGAGTGACTGACACACCCCTGAGGACCTGACTGGTCTGACTATCTCTGGGAAGTCTTACAAATGCTATGATGTCTTCAGAGTGCCCTTTCATGACAATATTCCCAATAGGAGAGCATATTTAGCATTACTGTGACCCTCTAAGGACAGGAAGATGTTAACTGCTGCAGCTCTCTCTGTTTCATGCTAATGCAATTTCTTTACCTGACTGCTTATGCTTTCAAGATCAAGGGACCATATCATTATACTGGTCATTTATCTTACTAATTTCTCCCTACAAGCCAGAAAACGATCTGTGATGGCCAGAATTTCTCCTGAAAAGCCTAGAAAACATTCTGTCAGAATAGGATTTTCTTGCTCAGATCTCTACACCAGCTGTCTGTAGGGATTAAAGAAGCTGTTTTAAGACATGGAGTTGTTGCTCCTCTTCTGCAGAAGTTAAGGGCAACAGAGGATCTAAAGGGCAGAGGGGTCTCAGTGATGTCACTTTGTTCCCTGCCAGCTTTGCAGGAGATAACAGACTGGGAAATGTGATATGCCAAGCTTGAAATTGTGCCCTGCTACACTCCTGTTTTAGGCTCATCTTGGGAAAGGTGCCACCATGCCTGATAAAAGACATCTAGGACCACTTCAGAGTTCCTAACCCATCCTACCTGTCCTGTAGCTGTGCAGCAATCCTGGATGTCAATGGCATCTTAAAAGTTGCTACACACTTTTTGGGCAATTGATTCAAACAATTCAAAATGTAATAAAGAAACATATATTTTCCACTCATGCTTTCCCTGGAATTCATGCCTCCACTTCAAAATTTTAGTGTAAAAGAAATAATGGTCTAAGCTTTTGCTACTATTGAGATTTACAGAAGAGGTTAGTATTGCTCAATACACAAATTCTTAGCAATCTCAATAATTGAAATATCTTAATGACATTGCTATGAATAGGATTTGAGAGGAGCCTGACTGGAGTTGCATATTTCATGGAAAGAGGATTGTATCAACAGATGACAAAGTCTAGTGCTGAGGAATATGCTACAGTCCCTCAAAGGAATGATTGGACAATTTACTTGAAATCAAGATAAAGAGAAAATTGGAGCAAATACTGTGGAAAGGCTCATGAATTGACAGTGGAGTGACTGCTATGCTGTTTGTCTGGAATTTTGCCAGTCTCATACTGGTGGTTCGTTCCTTGGTTGTGCTCTGGACAAGAATGGTCAAGAGCAGCTTGAGATACACAAACTCTAAAGAAAATGTGAGGAATTGAAATCCAATGTATTATTTTCACTGGGGGCCAGTAACAGGAAAATACTTCAGTGAAGCAGAGGATAAGGTAGAAGAGCATGCAGTCCAGGAAATTTCTCTAGGAGTGAGAGAAACACCCAGATAAAAAGGGAATAGTATACAAGAGGAATGAATATGGAAGATAGGTGAGGTCACAAGAGGAATGAATATGGAAGACAGGTGAGGTCAGGGAGAAAAAGACCAATTGGCAATATTAGTGGACACGGAGCTAAGTTTTATGTTGGTTACCTAAGATCTGTCGCCAGTTCAGCCATAATTTCCTCTCAAGCAAATTACTTGCCTTCTCTGGCCATCTAATTGTTTTTCTGCTCTTTATTTAAGAGCCTTTAGGTGTGAGATTCACAACAGCAAGGCCCCTCTTGTGTAGAATTCTGAGGACTGGCCCATCAGAATTCTGGTTGGTGACATAAACAGCAAGGACAGGGCAGAGCTGAAGGGAAGCCTGTTTCTTGGAGTGATCTTGGGGTCCAAAACAGGCAGGAGGAGGGTGGGAGTGAACAAGAACAGCTTATCATAAAGAGTCCCTACCTTATTCAGTGCACAGAGATCCCTTATGACTTCATGGATCAGGAGTTGTCTGGGGTTGGCAAATGCATCTGTGACTCTTGGCAAAAACCCAAGAAGTATTAAGTTCTGCAGAGTGGCTTCAGAAGGTCAGGAGGAAGACATCCTACTCTTCATTTTCTGAGTGTTACTCCAACTGATTACTATCCAAGAATATGCAGTAAAGACATCAGAAAGTCCCTGGATAAGGAGCAGCACCTCTGTCAGGAGTGGTGGAACTCACCCGTGGAGAATTCTGACCAGGTGTGATCACAGACTTCTCTCCCATCTCTGCTTGTTCCATTTTCTGAGTCTTTCATGCTGGAACTTGCTGCCCACCTGTATTCTAGGCATGCTCTGCCTGCCTGGATCATACAGTGTTAGAAACCTCCCAATGTGAAATAATAATAATAATAATCAAATGAAAGAGGTTATTGAAAATATTACAGGCCATAATTTTAATAAATGTTGGCTCCTGTCACTATGTTCTCTAGTATTTATAGTTTTATATACTGCCAACAGATCCAAGTGTTTTGTCTTTTTGACAAACATTTCATGCAATCATAAATTAACTCATTTCTCAGCAAAATCTGACATCAGCAGTTAAGCTGTCAGTATATAGAAGTACTAGGGCTGGCAAATCCTCATCTCATAAAGAAAACAAAGAGCTTAGATGCATCCCAGACAGTGAGCTAAGTGTGCCTGAGCTGAGTCTGCTATCAGGGGCCACATTGGTCACAGAGCTGACAGGTGGTGATTCTGCAGCTCAGGCATCAGCCAAAATGGCTCTGGACACGTTGGCCTTATTAAAAACCCTGCACAGGTATGCAGGAGCAGCTCCTGGGCTTTCAATGGAGCCACAGATCTTAAAACCTCTCCATTTTTTTCTTTCTGGCTTGTGTTGTTTTACTGGTTTAGATCTTAAGAGAAGTTCTGCTCCTGGTGTTTTTTTCAGGTGTTTTTCAGATACAGTGCTTATAAAAAACAAAATATAGACCATTAGAAAATTAATTTATCCTGTTGATGCTGGAATTTACCCCTTTTCTAACTGAATAAAACACTTTGAACAGATTGATCTGCTGCCATGACTTTTGAAGGAACTGCAGAGGAATCAGATCTGTCCTGAGCTCTGCACAAGCTCAGGAAGAGCTCTGTTTATAGCTATAACCTATATGCAACTTTCATTCTGAGCAGAGATGCATGCTTTAAAAACCCTGTAGTCAGTCTCACTAGTTTTTCTATTTCCCACACTTCCTTGGGGTGACATCCTTCCTATGGAAACCTGTCTAAACACAGGGTTGTTAAGTCATTCCTCAAAAAAAAAGTGGAGCAATTCACCTTTCTGCAATACAGATCTCTTATTTGCATAAAGAGCAGATAAGTTAAATTATAGCAATGAGTGACTCCTTGGAGGAGCGAGGATGGAAGGCAAGAGCAAGGAAAAGAAACCAGGACACTCAGGTACAGTTGTAGTTGACATGGAGACACAAAGACTGCTGAAAGAACACCCAACAAACTTGAGACTTTTTTGTGCTTCCAGATCCAGCTAAATTCTTCTTGATATTAACAGATATCACCCAAGCTCAGAATTGAAGTTCTGAGATTAAAGGTGAGCAGGAATTTATTCTCTGCTCCAGGCAGGCAGCTCTTACAGAAAACATCTGCTGTTAATACCAGGGAGTGATGTACAGGGAGAGTCCAGATGACACTTGCTGGGCATCCAAGTGGGCACATGTGTGTCAGATCCAGGATCTATGAGCATGTTAATGGATTTATTGAGAGACTGATTTTCCTGCTCTAGCACTGAACCAGAACAGCTGCACATCTTTGCCTGGCAACAGATTTGTATCAAGGTAACAGTGAGCAGGACAGAGCAAATTTTGTTTACTGCTATTTGGTGGAAGGAACTGCATTTTTATTTGGAATGGGCAGCAGGAAGGGATTAGGACAAAACTGCTTGTAATTTACTTAATGCCCACTGCTTAAACTTCAGTACTTAGCTCCATTTTAGACTTTTTGGCACATCCCACCTGGCCTCTATTGGGTTGTGAGTCTA